CACAAAGGGAATGAATGGATTATTTAGATAGTCGAGTATCAAAGTAAGCAAGAGGAAGCATGTATACTTTTCTGTTGCTGGCACAAGCAAGCTGCTCCTCACGAATTTGAGCCTCCAGTTGGCGTACTCTATTATCAGAAACAACCAACTTTTGCCTGGTGTCTTCCTGCCATTGAAAGAAATATGATTATACTCCAAGATGAGATATTGAGATATGATGAGAATAATGTATACCTATAGCATACCAATTTGGACCTCAAAGTTTCCACTAATGAACACCTTTTCTTCTCTGCTTCCTGGAAGCATAAACAGCCAAACAGGTAATAACTAATTGCCATAATCATGAAAAAGCAACAATTATAGAATAAATCAAAAATTTCTACCTGAAGCTTATTTATAATTTCTTGCTGCTCTTTCTCTCGTCTTAATGCAGCATCTGATATTCGTTTTATTTCCTCCTCAGCCTCAGCCTGGACTCTTTGTATTGAAGCTTTTATATCTACTGCAGATTTCTCTCGCTCTTCTCTTCTCTGATCACGCTCTTCATCTAATAAGGCTTTTAATTCAGAAATAGATCTCTGCTGACTGGACCAATCAAATATTAATTATAATCCATCCTTGCACCTCGAAAAATTGCATCGCTTTGATTTTTTCCATAAAAACTGAGAACACAATGAATTTGATGTAGATCCTTCAGCTTTGAGTCTATTTGCAATATATGCTTAGGAAGTGAAGATGTGCTATAATTACCCAAAGGAGATTGTCACTTCCCCTGTAGTTAGTTGGCTATTATTTTCTTAAATTTTGACATCCAGACAACAAAATCAGATAAGCATTTCCACCCTTCCCACAAGAAACCAGGAGAACTTTGTCCACTAAATGGACCTTCACCTTTTTAAGTATGGGAACAAAATTTTCTGGTTTAAGTGAAAAAGGTAGTAGAGAGTCCTGGTAATAAATTGATATATTCTTGCAAGTGCTAAGAATGGTAATAAATTGACATATTCTTGCAAGTGCTAAGAAAAAGGAAGCTTCTTTAAGCATGATCCAGAGAAACTAATGAAAGTTAGAAAGCAAATTCTAATCAATGTTTAGAATTTTCCATCAATTTGACCCTTCAACATTATTATATCTCTCACCTATTAATTATTTCATTAGCTTCAACACATGACTGCACAGATGCACTACGTCTTTCATTAAGGTCTTCGATTTCATGCTTTTGTTCAGCAGATATTTTATTTAACTCTGCTAGTTCCTTCTCTTTAGCCTCCAAAGACTGGCACAAGTCACTGAGCTGATCAAGATAAGATTTTGTAACTGATTCTTTTAATTCTCTTATTTCCTGCAAAAGCACAAATCATTTTTTATAGCACTGATAGACACACACACATCAAACATGACAAACTGCAGGAAAGAAGCCCTCAAGTGAAGGAATATAGGTTCTGCAGTTTTATTCCTCAAAATTGACAGAAATGTCCTAATAAAGCACCACATTCTCTCCCTTGTGGCCCACCCCCCAAGGGGGTAATAAAGCTCAGATTATAAAAGTTTTTAAATTATATGAATTAGAAGTATTTGGAGCAAGTTTGGGTGTCTTATAAGAATGCTTACAGACCACCCAAACATACTCTTGATATATTCCCGCTGCTTTTCACTAAACTTCAGAACAGCAAGAGAGAAACATAACAAGAATTTACAGTAACTTGCTAAAGAAACTTTGTGATGAAGTTATTCAATGATAAAGTACAGTCTTAACTGACAAGAATGCAGTTCCATTACTCGTACATAAGACAATCTTACAGTAAAGCAGAAGCCTATTAATACTTGACAATAGTCAGCCAAAAAATCCAGACATACACAACTATAGTGACAAGGAAAACGAGAAAGGAAGAGGATAAAATGCCCGTGCGAGACATACAATTTCATGGCGCTCACTATCTGCACGGTTCTCACTGCGCAATGATTCAATGGTTACAACTTGATTTTCAAGAAGTTTCCTCAGATCCTGTATATGCATTTTTATTTAAATCATATAAAAATAAATCCAGTCTCGACAGGCAGAAAAATTGACGAAACAATCAAAACATTTCAACAATGCAAATATACCATGTTTGAACGTTGAAGGCTCCGAAAATCATCAAGAGAGATTGGTCCATCTGAAGCACCAAGTCCAATTCCAATTCCTATTCCTTTTGATCTTTTGCTCTCAGAGCCAAATTCCTCTTTAAAAAACACCAAGCTATAAGTACAAGAGAAAGCACATCTTGTCTCATCTATGTCTATGCATGCACAAAATTGAAGCTTGTATTCCAGGTGTTGTACCAATGTTTAGTAATACTCAAAATAGTATTCCATAT